GTCAGCAGTAGTGCATTATGTGATTCTTCAGTTGCCACATTTGCACTGTCATTCTCTTTCTTTATAGGATTTTTGTGGTTCCTTCTTATATGGTCATTTAAGTTACTTGTTTACCAGGCCTTGACTTGCTCCTACTTCTATTCGTTGATTTTGATATTCCCATGTTTGAGTTCCTGTCATGTGATCTCCCTCTGGAATTAACATTTAATGCTGAACTTGAATATAAGATCTTGCCAAAATCTTTCCTGCGCACATCCTCAGCCAAAATCAAATCATGAATATCTCAAATTTCAGTTATGCCTTACTTATAGAATTGCTGACAACCATCCTCATAGCTTCCCAGCTATTTGGCAATGAAGTCAAAAAGATCAGTGCAGGTATCTCATCATCAAATTCACTTTCCACAGACGATAATTGATTTGTGATAGTATAAAAATCATCAAGGTATTGTACAACAGACATAACTTATGTCATCTTCAAATTGAATAACTTCTTCATCAGATATACATTGTTATTCGCCGATGATTTTTCATACATACCTGACAAGGCTTCCATAAGAACTGCAGTCGTCCAAGAACTGCAGTCGTCCTCTCCTTTGACGACGTTATGTGCAACGAACCTTGATAGGGTCAATCGAATAACCCCTAGAACCTGTCGATCCAATATATTCCATTCAGCCTCATCCATTCCTTTAGGTCTTTTCCCCAATAATGGAAGATGAAGTTTCTTCCCATAGAGATAGTCCTCTATCTGCATCCTCTAGTAACCAAAGTCTGTGCCATCAAACTTCTTGATCTCTGAAATCTTCACTTCATCCGCAACCACTGACTCTGATACCCGTTGTTGTGGTATATATGAAATTTAAAACGATTGACGATGAAGTAAAAAATAGAATGAGAAAAATTCACACAAGAAAAGAGCACACAGATTGAAGTGGTTCGACAATTGTCTACATCTACGGAATTGCAGAAGATTTTACTAATTGAGGGATTTACACCAGAATGTTTCAATTTACAAGAAACACTTATCTCAACTTCAAAGAATTACAAAGTCGATGTATTCTTTCACCGATGTTTCTTTCTCAACGCTGCATGTTTCTTTCGCCACGGGCTTCCTCCTACACCGTGAAGAACAAAAATGAAACAAGAATAAAAAACATTTTTATTCTCTCCGCTTTTGCCTTCTTCTCCTAAGCCTCACGCCAAGCCAGAAAAAGATATGGTATTCTCTCCGTAAGCCTTCCTCTCTTCTTCCCGTGAGCAGAACCGCAGAAGTAGTCCCTCTCGTTGCCGCAAGAAACTTAAGCCGTCCACTGTAGCCTTTTCCCGTAAGCCTTACACAAGAACCAAATTCTTGAAGCGGCTTGGAGTTCGGTTTTCAAAGAAGGAATTCAATGGCAGAAAATATATTTAATTCTTCTTTTTTGCTTGCATTTATGGTGGCGGGGCCAACTAAAGCAGAAGTCACGCCTCTTCCAAATAATGGGAGGCGAGAACATTTACTTTTCTCTTCTTCTTTTTTTCTGAACCGAGCTTCACCTCAAGATGTAGATCATCCATAAACATTTCTCAACTTCAACTGAAGCTAAACATAACATCAACTTCTTAGCTATGAAAACTTTAATTAATACCAAGCTGAAGGAAACGCTGTCGCCGGAGTCGCGCCAGTAGTCATGTATTGATAGGGCCGATCACCTTGGCCAACCACCCTCTCCAACTGGTCGGCCACTAAGGGCCGACCACATGAAGGCAGTCGTCTGCCACACTGGCCTGCCATACCCAGCTAGTCGGCCACCAAAGGCAGAACACGTAAATGTTGTCACCCGAGTACCCTGGCCTACCATCACCAGCCGGCTACCAACCATGGGTCGGCCATAGAGAAACTTTGACCAACCACAAAGGACCATCCACATGGAGAACCGAACCACATGGAGAAAATTCAACCGACCACCTTGGTCGGCCATACCCAGCTGGTCGACCCCAATGGGTCAGCCATTCCCAGTTGACCGATCGTCTTTATCCTGCCACCCGACACCAAAGGTTCCTGCGGAAGTAAAGCTCGATGACTCTAGATCTGGGCGATGGGAGGATGAAAATATCCGGTGTTGCCATCCTTAAAGTAAGGATATTCTTGTAATAATATAATTCCGTCATTTTTTATTTCTTTAGATAGATGACCCTATGCATATGTAAAGGTATACTCGCCCACAACCTGAAATCTCATGTATGGAGTATGATCCCCTTCTTCCCTCGCCCACAACCTTTATTTTGTGAAGATTAAAAGGTGCTAAAGAGCTCGAGGAGCACCCTTCTTTGCCTCTCACAGAACAAATCTCTCTCATTCTCTTTTGAGGACGTGCTCCTGATTAATCAACCAACTAGTATAGGTATACTCCTGTTTCATTTCTCCTCTCACTACCTCCATTGAGTATATGTCGGTTTCCGTATCTCTTTAATGTCGAGAACTCTCCTTAGATCCATACGTCGTAGCTACCTACTCGCACCTGGAGGTCTACAATGATGCCCTGGCTAGGGCTGTAAACAAAATTAATCAAGCCTAGCTGAGTAGGGGGATGTTCTCAAGCTCATTTACAAAAAAGCTATTGAAGTTCGGTACAAACTCGATTCAAGCCTACGGGATATTGTTCAAGCAAGATTCATCTATATTTATTCTTGTTTAAGCTTAATTCATTTTATTATTATTGAGCTCTAAATAAGCAGCTCAGTCGGCCTTTTTGAGTCAAAATTTTTAAGCATACATTTAAATAGTGATTTTAATTAAAATAATTTATTAAAACTTAATAAGCCAAGATAATCCTATTGAGTTTAAAAGTTAAAATTTTAGTTGTACAAATCCTTAAACAAAGCCCAATGCCCTCCCCTTCAAGCGAAGCTGAATAATCTACACGCCAATGCGAGCAAGGTGCTCAAGCACTGGAGCTTCGTCTTTTCATTTAAAAAATATCAATGATAAATCTATCTAATAATAAATTAAGTAAATATAAGGGTAAAAAGCTTAAAACTTCTCATGAAATTTACCTTGATTTTAAATTGTTCTGTGAAAGAACATGAAAGACTAAGAGCATAGATTTATTTATTGGATTTTTTATTAAGCTTGAAGCTGCACGTAAACTTAAAATTTTATTAAATTATATTAATATGAAGCTTCAAATTAAAATTTGAAATTTATTTTTATCTGTTTTTTTTTTTTTCAAAATTTTTGTTAGTTCTTTAGTTAATAGTAAGAAAAAATTAATTTAATTTTAGGTTATATTTTAATTATTAAAATGAAACTAAAATTTTATTTAGATTAATTTGTAGTGGATTTTATTAATATATATTCTTAATAGAGCTTCTTAGAGCCAATTTATTTTGCTGCAGAAGAAGTGCATTGCATTTATTTTATAGGAGTTTCATAAACTTAAGAGTTTGATTAGCTGAATTCTAAGCGCAATGTAAAATTATAATGCATTTTGAATTCATCCTCTAATTTATTTTTCAATGTATTTAGAATTTGTAGAATTTGGACAAATTTAAAGTACAATGCATTGTGTAAAGAGTTGCATCTATTGACGCCGGCTGCCACTACCTACCATAGTCAAGGGTCATCACTGTTGCCTCTCGTCTACCCACTATCGCCACAGGCCTCCATTCACCACATGTTGCTGCTTGCTTGCTCCACCACCTCTGCCCTCCACCGTCATCGTTTGACAGCCCACCATCCACCATCACTTGTTAACGACCTACGTGTGCCCTTGTTGCCAACATATCATTGTCGCCAACGTTTAACAGCCCACCATCCACCATCACTTGTTAACGACCTATTTTACATTGATTTTATTTTTCTTCAAATCAAATAAGAAATTGTGAAATCTTGCATTTATTTTATAGAAAAACAAACAGCTTCAAAGTATTCCAAGTATAATACATTTTTTTTTAAACTACATTTATTTTATATTGTACTTTTTTTTAGCAAATCAAAAAGTAATTAGTGAGTGTATATGATTTAGGAACATAAATAAATCAAATAAATTAGTGTTCAGAGATGTTCATTTTATAATCGAGAGTAATGATAAAAATTTTTAATGCGGTTCATTTGATTTATTAAACAAGAAAAAGTAGACTTCATTTGAGGTGGGCATCACTCAATCCATTTCCTCTAGAAGGTGGTGATCATTGGTTGTGGTTGAAGTTCGATCTCTTTGTAGGATCTAATTTTTTATTTATTAAATTGAGCCTTAACCTTATCGTTCATACCTCACTTTCTCAACTTTAAAGGTCATGAATTTGCTCCCCTAATCCTCCGCCCATTATTTCTTAAAAAACTTCAGAGGTTTTGGGCATTGTCTTCTGTGGATTTCTCCTATTTCATGTCTCCCTTTACTTATTTACAATGGGCATTGAATTAATGCACTCCATGACAAAAAAAAAAAAAAAAACACAATAAATAATTTTGTGTAAGTTATAGTTGTTAAATTTAATTAATTTTTAAATTAAACTTCTAATTTATTTTTGTTTTCAAAATTTGGATTGGCATTTAGAGAATTGAATGGCACTCACGCTCGTTGCATATTAGTCTAAATGAAGATCATCATACAATCCATTTAATACCTATGTATTTACAAATCTAACATCTAAACTTCAAATTTTATTATCAAAAGAAAATATATAATTCATTTTTTTTAAAAGTAATTACAAATGATAATATTTTTTATATTGCTGCAATAAATATAAAAAAAAAATGGAAAATTTAGATATGGGCCGGCGCCATTTATGAAAATGTCCAATACGAAATATAAAGTAAGGAATTTTAATTATGGTATTAGACGCTCATTTTATCTCTAGAAAATAAAAATCTAAAATTATACCTTTAGGACAAGTGGAGGAAATGTTCTATACCAATACCACATGGCAGATAATAGCAGTAAATTGAACTGCATGCTTGCCACGATAAAAATCAATCACCAGACTCTATCTTCACAGTAACCTTATAAGTATCCATTCACCTCAATGACAAAAAACAACACACTCATAATTCCTCTCGATCTAAAATCATCAAAGGAAACAAGATGCATGCTGCGAAGGAAAAGGTGAAGGACGCGGCCAGCACCGCTAAAGAGAAGTTGCGGGAAGGCACCGCAGAAGCCCATGAGAAGACGGGGAAGGCTACGGCCACGAATAAGCAGGAGAAAGAACTGGCGAAAGAAACATCCAAAGCCGAGAAAGCTCATGCAAAGGCTGATCTGCACCAGGAGAAGGCTGAACACCAAGCGGATTCTGCCACTCATCATGCTGGCGGACACCATGTTCCTCTCACTGGTCCTCATCACCACTATCCAGGGGAGACGCCGCTCGGCACTGCGGACCCAATTTATCCGGCTTCCGGCCTCAATCCAAATACCAAAAATCTCTTATGAGTGTCTACTATTTAGAGAGCATAAATAAATATCCGTGCAGGTCATGCTTGTGTCTGATATGTATCAGAACACTATCAGACGTCATGGATTGAACTGGTTTTCTTTGCTTTCGAGTTTGATGCATTTTGTTATTTGGGTTGATGCTGGTTTTGGGTTTTCATTATCTATGCTGGTTTTTTTTTTTCTTCATATTTGCTTTTGGAGGCCTTTTTGGCTGCATTGTGATCATATTTGCTGGAAAGATTTAACATTTCTTTCTGTTGTGGGTAATTATTGTTGCTACTGCGTAAATAGTTTTTCTTCACCAATTATTAATCTGCGCTCCTCAAGTTGAAATTTTGTAACATAAAAGATAAAAGATATTGTATCTGCTTCTGTTGGAAATTATGTTGTAAAAATTATTATTAATCTGCGCTCCTCAAGTTCAAATTTTGTAACATAAAAGATATAAGATATTGTATCTGCTTCTGTTGGAAATTATGTTGTGGGATCAATGATGTGCAGCTACGGTGAATAAAATAGAAAACATAATATTAGTGATGATATTTTAATTATTGGGATAAGAATGTCGGTCAGGATAATTGTTCTTGATGATGTTAGTGTTATGCGCATGAGGTGTGACATCATTAATGAAGCATCTTATATGATGATTGTTGTTAAAATGATTGTGCGCATAGAAAATGATTTAGAAAATGATTTAGAAGCAAGCACTTAGTATAAATTGTCCTTATCAAGAGGTTCGCTGAGTGTCCTTATCTAGAAGTTCGCACCTTCTTATTTAATTAGAAGCTTGCTCTTATAGGTTGCATAAATTTTGGTAATCATATGAAGAGAGATAATCAACACACAACTAAGCGCACTAACTAGATATCGGAAAGTAATTGTTCTTTTGTACATGTTGCATAAATTTTGGTAATCATATGAATAGAGATAATCAACACACAACTAAGCGCACTAACTAGATATCGGAAAGTACATAAATTTGATGAAATAATTATTGGGTTTAAGCCTGCCCCAATATTATATTAACATCTAGAAGATTATTTTTCAAAACAATTTCATGAGGATTATGACTGCCTATCATATTTAATGATTGATACATGAAATGCTTTAATTTGTTATGATAAGCATCCCCACTAGTCAATTACAGCAGCCCATTATCCCTGCATCTGTTTCCTTCATCATTCATCATTCCAATTATTGTAAAAGCAATGATGTCTCTCTCTATTGTTTATAAGCTTGCTCTACACGCAGAATGCATTAAAGAAATATGCAATATGATCATCTACTTCTGTCTTCAAATTTGAATAACCGGCATCATACAATCTTCCTTCATCAAGGCGGGAGATAGTTTGATTCCTTAATCCCTAAACTTTTCCCTCATCAAATGCCTCATAAGCATTCAATTCTCACATGAAACTTATCCTATATGGAGGCCTTAAATCCTAATAAAATTCACAATTATTAGTTTCGAAAGGCTCCTTGATCATATTACTTCTTGCCTCTCCAATGCAGCTCAACTCTGTGGAGAGTGGCATTTTTTCCAATCAATAATATTACGTCTGGCAGCTTCTTCAGCATCAGCTATCTACTCCACTATCACTAAATCTATTTTACCTTATATCCTCACTCTGATGTCTGTAGCCCTCTCCAACTCCTATCAATGTCTACAAATATATTAGTCTCTTTTGTTGATGATTTATTCATGTTTAATAAGATTTATGCAATGTATGTATTCTAAACTTGAACTAACTAAAAAATTATTCATCTCACAGATATGCTTGAGAATAATTTCATTCTTGAGTCAAAATTCTTTGCTCCAATGGTGGAGGCAAATATGATAATTGTAGTTTACAAAATTTTCTTGCACTCGGGGGATTGTTCATCAATTGAGTCTCACACTTCTGAACAAAATGGTGTAACAAGACAAAAAAATTTTCATCTAATAAAGACAACTCCGAGACCATGTAAAATCATCCATTAAACTTTTCTACCAAACTTTTCTACCAAAAGCCACCCATCTATTCTGGCCTGAAAGTATTTTAATGATTATTTCCCACGGATGCAACCCTATTCCTTTCGCAAATTGTCTCCTAGATCCTTCTTGTGCATCTTCATAGGCCACTTTTTTCCTCTCACAAAGTTTTTCGATGCTACAACCTATTACGTTGACTATCATAAAACTCTTAGGTTGTTAGACAAAATGCCCATCATCCAAATTTTGCTTTACTTCATAGTACTTCACAAGAACATTTTTACATGAAACAACCTCAGAGTTTCATGATACTAAACATCCAACATATGCATGTTAACTTGACAGAGAGTCATTTATGGCTTAAAATTGCACCGTAATATTGTTTTATTACATTCTTCATTCATTCACTTCGCCAAGGATTTAAAACCAGCATGTTTGACTCCTCTCTTTATAGATTTGTTGAGTAATCAAATCCTTATGACTAGTTTTAATTGAAAGTGCTTATTCACTATCAGGACAAGTAATTAATCCTAGGGTTTTGTGTTGAAACCTAAAATCCCAATTTTTAAAGTCCTTTCAAAATGTAGGAAAATCCCTTGTTAGTCTTTTATTTAGTATTTCACCTAAATTATAGAAGTTTTAACCCGGATCCTCAAAGTAAACTTACTCATTTTCCTTTTATTTTATTTCTTCTCAATGGATGTCAAAGCATCAAATTTTTGTAGCCCACAAGCATATTAAGGTAGCACTTCATAATGTTAAGAGACATAAGCTAGTGTCTTACGACATGTTATTCTTAATATTTCTCGTCTCACTCAATATGTGGAGAATTTTTGCTTATAACTCATTAAGGAATATGGATCCCTAGAAGTTAGGACTACATATCATAATTTATTTTGTAAATTGATTGTTCAATTTAATGGCACTCTCACCCAGGATATGAATAGAAATAACTTTGGTTTTAATGATTGTCTATAATTGATCCACATTGATGAGAAGGGGGCACTTATTGATAAGATAATTGAGTAGAAATATTGATGATACAGTCAAACATATGTTAGAATTACGGTTTATCCTGTTGTAGTCAATGATGGGTTAGAAGTAATAAGGGATGGAGTGGAAAATGCTAGATAAAGTAGTAACTTTTCAATTGTACGGGGATGACCACATTGATAGGTGATTCAAGACAGTTGGGAAGTTCACTTTAATGCTGACGATTAAGTCAAGCCTACAGAAAATATAGTAAAACCTGACGGATAAATTGACGGCCAAGAGTGTAGGTAATTTCAATTTTATTTTTTATGTATTTCTGATGGTAAAGTTAACCGTGGCTTTTCTACGGGCTAACTTGTAGGCTTTTAGTAAATCTAGCAAATGATGATCATGAGATAATAATCAACAGTTAAAACTTCGGTTCATAGCAAATTATAAAACGACAATCTGACACCGCCAGAAAGTTAGATCGTAAGTTGTTAGCTAATTGATAACTGACAGTCTTGATATGTTAATTGATGGTCTTAGCCATTGATTTTACAAAATTAAAAACCAACAGTCGTTTTACACCTAAAATGTTATAAAGCGTTGGCGGTAATCCACACAAATATGTGTTGCACAAGTAATATATGAGTTTGAGTCCGTGTCTAAATTTCATTGAGGAAAAAGTTAGTTTTCCAAACAAGTTGAAGTTCTGGTTTACTAACTTTTTGTTTTGTTGAAATGTTGAAGTTTCATGAATTTTGAAAATATCTAAGTCATACTTTATCAAATGTAGAACCCTCCCTCGAATAATTCAGTAAGTCATATGCAAATTGGATCTATAAAGTGAAATCGAATAAGAAGTTTTAACAACAAAGAACAACCCGTGAGAGGGAAATGACTGAGCGGAGGACATCGAGAAGAACCATGACACTTTTTTATTTGTTTTTATTTTATGAGACATCAAAACATGTTTTTCTTTACACACACACACAAGGGGACGGAAGAGGATTAGAACTTTTTTTATTTGTTTTTATTTTATAAGGCATCAAAACATGTTATATATAT